TCTCGCAAACAACCATAACGCAGGACACTGTATTCACTGGCCCAACCTCCTCGAGTCTGTCGCGGAAGAGCACAAAGACAGGACTGAAAAGGAGACTCACCAAACATTCAGATCTCCTCTCTGTGTTGTCCTTGCCAGACACCCCTCCGAAGGTGGAGAGATCAAAAAGTGTGCGCTCTACACGAAGTATCCGAACAACCAGGCGACACCTTGAAAGCGCTACCGTCCAAGATCTTATGCAAGAATTGGCTGAAGACGAGACAAAATACATGCGAGAATTGAACACGCTTGTTGATGGCGTGATTCCCGTTTTGCTCACGTCTGTCCTTTCGAAAAGCGACTCAGCCGTCGCAGCTGGCCTTCTGGACCCAGACTCGGCAACAAACTCTTCTTTCACAAAACCCATCGTTGATATGGGCGTTGCTCTTGAACGCTTACGATCAATTCACAAACGAATCCCGCTTGACGACTCAGACGCTTTCCTCCGCTGGCTTCAATCTACACAAAAGATCTACGAGGACTATCTGTTTGCTTGGCGCGCTGGCTTCGAGGGTGTTGTGGTCAATCTGGCTCCTTCACATCCCAACGACGCCATGGACAAGATGCCTCGGAACAAGAATGGGGATGTCATCAATGACAATGGAGAGGTGGTAGACGTGGCTTACTTGCTCAAGAGACCTTTGGTCAGGGTCAAGTACCTTTTGAGGGTCGTCAAGGTCAGAATCTCGTTCATTGTTTACTTGGGATCAAAGCTAATGAACTACAGGGACTCGGCATGGCGAAGAAATCAGATCTTTTGAGCGATATGTCAGACAAGATGCAACAACTTGAAGGACTTGCCCGACGGCGCGCAAAAGAGGAAGATGCGCGCCGTGAAGATCGCCGCGCCTATACTACAGATTCTACTCGAGTCCGATGTCTCAGAACCCTTGTGCAAATTGACGGCATCAAAATCGATCGAAACCTACAGGTTGCTGCCAAGGATACCTTCTCCTTAGAGTTGCCTCACTCAAGTGGTCAAAATATTGAGTGTCAAGTGGATATATTTCTCCGAGACAATCCTGAAGATCGAAAGGACGCAGATATTCTCATTGTCGAGGTCGGCATCGATGGGCGCTTCTTGCTCTTTCCACCACTTGACAAGAATCATGTCTCAGCTCGTATGGGTGATAACGACCACCAGCTTGTCGTCCAGTTCCGAGGGGTTACAAACATTGGAACACAAGTGGAGACGTGGAATGAATCCTTCATTCTCGAAACAGAAGATCCAGAGGCTGCTGAAGATTGGCTCAAGATGCTGGGCACAGTCCCTCTTCCGCCCCCGATTGTTCGCAAAGAGATGTTGCTGGAATCCGAGCTTGCGTCTGAGATATCTTCCGTCAACTCATTCGCTCACACCGACGACATCCCCATTGGTGAGCGCCGTCGACAAACAGAAGATAAGATCACTGTGAAGAAACGCCAACGAGTAGAGAAGAAGGCACCTACTACTGTGTTCGAATGCCTCGAAGAGCATCCATATCATAGCGAACTCGGGGAATTGTGCATTTTGGACGTGAAAGATCTCAACCAGGCTAGAGAATTAGCTGGTCTTCTGCCTCTTAAGCTACAACAGAAGCGACCAACACCTGCACGGTATGCCAGTGCCAAGATTCCAGTTGTCATGTCAGGCGCCATTGGAATAGAGGACAACAAGGAGGACTCCGTTGGTAGGAAGCAAGTCGCTGGCGATGATAGATCTGGAGAGGATAATGTTTCCCCCGCAAGCTCTCCTGTTACCTCTGAGAAGTGCAGCACTCCTTTGAGAGATTCGATGCGACCAGACCCCGAGACTCTGAAGAGACAAGCATCTCCACCAATTCGCGATGACGGTGCTCCTCCACCTCCAGCTCATAGAAGCCCGTCATCTCCAAATACTCTAAAGATGCCACCAGTCCTTGACAGCCCAACACCAAAAGCCAAGACTCGCCGAACTTCATCTCCACTCAAGCATGAATGGCAACCAGATAATGCGTCGCTTACTTCGCCATCCGAACGCAGTGATTCTGACTCTGAATCTGACTCGGATACATACTCTTCTTCTTCTGAAGATGAGCTTGAAGCAATGGATAGCCCGATTGACGATACTCCTGCCGTAGTCTACCGCAAAGTATCACCTCCTGTATCTCTCTACAATCTTCCCAATGGCAGTGTCGCTCCGTCGAACTCGGCTTCGCAAGCCCCCTACCGTGGTGCCCCGGTTAGCAAAACAGAAGGAGACACCAGAAAGACAATCGCTCGTCTATCATACTGGAAGGAAGATGGCCTTAGGAGTTGCTGGACAGACCTATGGCCCCAAATCTGCTCCATTGTCATTACTCCAGGTCGAATTGAAGCCTACGAGATCAGCGCTGCCCACTCTTCGCCAGTTCGTGCTGGAGACTCAACGTCCTCTCGTTCATCTGATCTCAACTCTGAAATCGACGCTAGTTCTGATCGCCCTCTCGTTGCTCTCGATCTCACACCTCTCGTCACGCTTAGGCAAAGCAACGCCGTCGACATCGAAGTCAAGTCTCCAACACTTTCGCAATCCCGATTGAAGTGCCGCGGTAATGTTCGCTTCCGAACCCTCACTGCTCAAGACGGTGTCTTCCTCTACAGAGCAGTTCATTATGCACGAATGAACAATGCAGTCTTCATCAAGCTGGAGGAGGAGCGTAGATATGCAAACTTTGGTTCCAATGCGTATCAGCAAGCCATCGCCGCAAACACCAGACGCAGCTTCTTCGGCAGACAACGCAGTTACCGTGCTTCCGCTCGCGCACCCCAATCCGACGTTGTTAGCGACCAAAGTGGCAAGAGTTCCGTCGCAACAGCACTCAAACGTCTCAGCGGTGGAGGACTCTTCAACATCGCCAGGTCATCCATCGACAGAAGCGGCCCCATGAGCCATTCCACCAGCTCCAGCGACTACAGCGGCGCCACACCTCCAGGTACACCCGGCAGCCCCAGCCAAGCAGGAAGCAGCGCCTACAGCCAAATGCAAGACCTAGGCTGGGAGGATATCCCGATTATTTTCAGCAGGCTCGTCACGCATAGCAAATGGGACGTTCTCGGCCCCGCCTTCCTGACCGTCTCCACGCCGCCTCCTGACATGCGTCCTGAATCCTCTCAAAACTACGGTATCCTCAAACGCGTCACTGTTACTCGCAAGAAGCTGCACATGGGCAGTCCGCAAGGTCCTAATCCCGAAGCATTAGTGATCTGCGATATCGCAGTTGGCGTCGGCTGCTTCAATCTCGTTGCTCGCAAAGGTGTCGTGATGCACGATTGGCGCGATATTCGAGGAAACGATGGGCAAGTTGGCGTTATTGGCTCCACTGGCGGAGTGAGTGCTACGATGGGGAAATGGCTCATTCAAACAGACAAGGGGATGGCGCGAGATTGGATCTGGAGTCTGACTGGCGGGTTGTATGATCGTAGCCGTGGGAGTATTCCCAGCGGTTACGGGATGTGAGTTGAGGGTGGCATGAGATCATGAGATATGATAAAAGCAGATGGTTGGAGTTTTGTGCGATGTTTCTACCTCTCTTCGTTTTTATTTTCGTTTTTTTGTTCATGACCATGGCCATTTTATGTGTAGGAATAGGGTTGGTCGACAGCGAATTTTCTTTTCTGCATAGAGCGAGATCAGATGATGGTTATGACTTCTAGAGGTGGTGTATAGGGATGGTGGGGGCGTTTTCGGTTGTAATGACTGAGGGGAGGTAATTGTATAGAGGAATACAGTGCATTGAACAAATTACTCGTGTTATCGTGCTATCGTGATATCTTGAAAATTGTGACGTTGTGAGGGAGCGATTGGGGAGGCGGACCGGTTCGGCATGGAGAGGACGACGTTCAGAGCTTCCCGGGGCATCCGCCAACGCCACCTTCGCTGCGACCTTTTGCTTTAAAGCCACTCATCTTCCTGGACATTTCGATGCTCATACTTACAATAATTCTCTAAACTACGAATTCTAGTCCTGATTGAACGAGTATTGATCGCATGCACGTGATGCGGGGTCACCCGTAATCTTCCTCACGATCTGAATCCTCCATCGCTCTTCACCTTCCACCCCACCAAGCACCTCTTAGCGCTCATCCTTGACCTTCCTCTCATCTACCAAGATCATCAACATCTCCTGACCTTCAATCGTTCTTTTTCCGGAGAGGCGCATCAGGCTGAGGCAGCGCAGCGATGCCAATCACAGAGACCCTTGAGCCCCGCGCGCCCGAGGAGCTACAGCACAAGATCTTCGCGACTAAGACGGGCGAAGACTATATCATCATCCGGGAAGTGTGTTCACATGTATGTCTACCTTTCCCTTCCCGTACCCTTCTCTCATTCCCGTTCTTCCTCTCATGCATACCAGCTCGGTCGCGAGGGCTACGAATCGCTCGTGATCCAAACCAAGTCCAAACCGCGCGATTTCAAATTTGATGTCGAGAAGGCGGTTGTGTTCCTGATTATGGGCGCCTTCATGCTGGCGGATGGGAAGGTTATTGGGGAGGAGGGCGTTAAGATGGGGGATTTGATGGGGAAGGTTGGTGCGGGGAAGGGGTATTTGGTTGAGGAGGAGGAAGGGATGAGGATTTTTCCTGGGAGTGCGGTTGTGGTTAGTTATTTTGATTGAGGGGGAAAGGGCCTGGGTTTTAAAGAGCGCATGGAAGGCAAGAGGGCGTTTTGTATATGTAGATATGTCATTGGCGTTTAATTATTGTTTAGGTGCTTGTTGATACATGTGAGACTTCAGATTATTTCCTCTGCTTTAAAAATCGAGTTGCAAAAGAGAGGATAGGAAGAGGTCGTAGAGAATAGCGCGGCTCTCGTTATTTGGTACAGTCTCGCTTCCCTGTGGAGCCCTAACAGCGAGGGCTCTCCAACTCTCCATAAAAGGTGCCAAAAAAAAGGTACAAAGAAGCACTAAACAAAGAGGCCAAAAAAAGAGGTCTCAAGAGGCAAAACAAAAAAAGTTGCTTGTCCTCGGAGAGACTCGAACTCTCGACCTTTGGATGGCCAGACTGTGAACAATCTAATCACACGAAAAGTATGAGACCAACGCTCTAACCAACTGAGCCACGAAGACGCTGCCGGAAAAAGTGCTTATTTATGCTTATTCAAAGCTTATCAAAAGTGGGCTTTGCGGTCTAGTCTCATAGGTTCATAAGCGAGCGTCCCCTGCCTCGTAGTGGACATAAAAAGCGGCACTAATTATAATAAATCCATTGGGGCATTTAACTACCACGCCTCTAATTGTTCCTTTAAGGTTTCGTACATTTAAGAATATCTTGGAATCTTGGAAGTCTCAAGATAGCTCTATCCAATTTTCCAAGAGCCCAAATCTAATATTTCAATTTCCCCAAGGACGGGGATAATCAGTATCGCTTTTTGCCACTACTACGAGCCGGTCCTACATAAATATCAACATGCCATTCCTACTGTTCTTAGAAATAAAAATATAAGCGGCCTTCTTATATTCTAATTGGAACAAGCGAACCCGTTTCCAATATCAAGAATGTACCCCGCGATATGTACACATAGTTAGGATCTGGAATGCAAGATCGAGAAGCTGGAAGACTATATGGAGACGAGTCTCTCTGTAAATGTCCTGGAAATAGTCTATGAATTATATAAGCGATGGATTCTGCTACTCTTCAATTTGAAAGCAGCGATCAGCCTAGGGACTAGAGCTATAATATAGGCCTATTTCGTGCGTCAAAAGCGATGCCTTTGCTACGCTGTGACTTGCTAGGAAGAATTGTGGATCGTATTACTAAGTAATGTTCATTTGAAGAAGGTCTCTGTAAATGAGGGAATTCGAGCCAAGAATGCCCTATACAGTATAAGAATATTGAGTTGGGGCCATAAGTAAAGTTTTTAGACCGACAACTCTAGACCCTTAATTCTATGAAGTGAAGCCCAGGAAAATGTTTACAAATGTCTAAAATAGCGTGGAATGTTTAGCAAATAAGGCGGGTGCTACGTTATTTAATATTACTTTAGAAAATCATAAAGGCCAGTACTTCACGTCAAGGCTCAAAATGTTTTTGTTTAATTCGCTTCCTAGTTAGTTTACTGTTCTATAAATAAAATCTATACAATTAATCTATATTCGTTAGATCAGATACTAAAAGAGAGAGAATATAAATCAACTTTGTATTAGTTATTTAGGAATAAATAATAATATCTCATTGTCTTACGAGTAAGTGGAACATTTTAACATAATAAAGAGATAATTTCCATTTCTAGTTACATATTCGGTACTCAATCTATAAGCTCAATCTATACAAGACAGGGAGGTTTCATTATCCCGATAGACTTGGAATATTCATTTACATGCTTTAAGTCTCTGTTATAGTACTAATATACCTTGGAATATGAAAAATAGCATTAAATGCCATTTTCAATAATTTTAGTCCTGTTCTAGATATATATAAAAAAGCAAATTCATCAGGCTCTCTAAAGTCTAGCTCCGAATATCGGAAATCTACGCGCAGCGGCAACTTGTATAATAACATCATGTTAGGAGTTTACTAGATGAAACTTGGACAAGATGAAGCATACCTGATAAAGCATGACATTCTAAGGATTAGATCCAAGAATTATGGCAGAAGGCCGGGTTGAATAAACAGCTTGCTTAGAATTTCTACTATATTAATTAGCACTAACACTTCGCGAGATGTCAAGAACTGTCTATATCATGTAGAGGAGCTAAGATTATGCAAGTGAGATACATAATTGATTTGTAATACTGGTTTTGATGTAAGTGCAGTTGAATACCATCATCAGAGCGTAGGTTTCTTCACCCAAGTTCCGTCCCTGCCGAGGATCGACCCCGTATTGAAAGTTTACTGCAAGCCAAGCCCACTAGCCCCAGTATTCCAAAGTGCAAGTAGATTATTTACACTCACATGCTCATTGATTCGGTCAATTATGCCGTGAAACGTTGGCTTTCCAGTCAACAGGCGAATTGGAGACTATTATTCGTTTAAGATTCGTAAAAAATTAGCCGTAAGGGTAGGATGACAGCCAGGCAGCCACAGCCGGTGTTGCACGATATTAATTACTTGCGCCTCTCTTAAACTCCAATGGAGGCGCAGCAACCGAGGTGTATACTCGAAAATTCATTTGGATCATAGATAAGTTGAGATTTTCTTGTAGATGGTTGAAAATTTGTTTATAGTGGCAATCAGGAAGTTTCAGGATGGAACGAGATAATTCATTGTCGCTCTCTGAAGCTTCTGCTGAATCCCTTCATACTCTTAGCATCAACGCTGATGGAACTGTACCATCAACTAAGATTCAGTTTCAAGTTTCTATCGTGGATCGAGACTCAAGCGAGAAAAATGGAGACGTTGTCGAAGAGAAGGATGTCTTCGACTTGTCGGACTGTTCGACGCAAGTTTTCCGACTCCAGATCTCAGTGACCTTCTACTCATATGATTTCTAGGATCACCCCTTCGGAGTCTGGCTCGGACTTACCCACAAGGGCAACGCGGCGGAATACATTTCCAGTACTTCGGGATCAAGATGAAAAACGTCGCAATCCAAGATTATATGGCTGGAGAGCGACAGTTCTTACTTGCGCCTTCACGGTAATAGTCGTACTCATGATTAATGTATCCCTGGCAGTATATGGCGTCGTGAAATACAGCAAAAAAGGCAGTGAACGCAACCTTTATGTTGGGGACTGCGACCAAGCTGGAAATATTAGTAACAGCCTCCATATTTTGATCAACATCTTGAGCACGATCCTACTCAGTGCGAGCAATTACACAATGCAATGTTTGCACTCTCCGACTCGTGCAGAAGTTGATCGAGCTCATGCGGCAAAGAAGTGGGTTGACATTGGCATTCCGAGCTGGAGGAATCGCAAATTTGTCAGTCTAAGGAATAGAGTATTGTGGTGGGGGCTTGGACTCAGTTCTCTGCCTCTGCACTTTGTGTAAGTAATCAAGTCTATTTCAAGTTCACTTTTACTGACAAAGAATATATAATTCGTCCGTCTTCTTGGAAATAGCCGCCCAGGAATACCAAGCGGTTGTAACCAGCTCTGGTATCCCTCAGATGATCCACAACAACCAGCTTCTTGACATCTCTAATAATTGCACTGAGCTGGCTTGGGAGAATTGTGAATCGATCTACTCTGGATTTCGGCATGAAGATGGCGATGTAATTTTCACAGCGTCCGCGTTGTTTAATCTAGACTTCACAGTGCCAGCAAACACGAGCTCCCCAATTTGGGACCAAACCTTCCTCTCCTTACGAAACATGAGTTCATTATCCTGGAACTTCTCTGATCCTAATGGAATGCTCCCATATGGAAATCTAACAATTGCAGATACGTCATACAACATCACATCCTGCTGCGCCAAAACGACTGTATACAGCCCATGCAAGCTCATATTCGACGTTCAAATTATTGTCATTGTAATAATATGCAATGCAATCAAGGCTATTTGTATGTTCCTCTTGGTGCTTAAGGCGGAAAGACTATCCTCTTGTCACGTTAGGTGATGCCCTCGCATCTTTTCTAGAGCATCCAGATCCCACGACAAAAGATATGTGTCTCATCTCAAAACGTGAGATTATAGCCAAATCATTCGAGACGCAACCCAAACCAAAGAAGTGGAAAGAGGGAAGGGAGAGCATGGCAGAGAAAGAATTCTATGCTGTATCTGCACGGCGATGGGCTTGGGTTAACACTTTGTACGACCACGAGCCTCTCTATTTGCCCTACTAATATAATCTAGCTTGGTGCTTTGTCTTTTTTCTCTGCTCATAGGTCTCGGCCAAGCCGCCGATCGCAACCTACAGGGAACACCTTCCTCAACGGCCAATGGGTTCGGTAGCACTCTGCGGTCTTCTTATCCTACCACTCTCACAACAAATATTGCTGGATGGGGGAAAGCGACGACTCTTGTTTTAGTAAACACTCCACAAGTTCTTATTTCGCTCATGAGCGTACTCTACAACGGCTGTCTTACATCCATGATACTGGTCGGAAAGTGGAATTCGTTCTCCCAGCATCGCCACCCACTGCATGTCACGGTTCCTCTCGGCGAGCAGAAGAGCCAATACTACCTCACAATACCTTACCGCTACGCCATTCCATTACTTATCGTAATGGGAACTTTCCACTGGCTTATCTCAGAGAGCTTTTTCTTAGTCAGCCTTACAGCTTTCCGGGGCACGGAGGTCCAACCTCAAGACTCCGTATTTGGAATTGGATATTCTGCTATGTCGATTGCGCTTGCAGCTTTGATCTGCCTTCTCTTGATTGCTGTCTTGGCCTTGAAGAGTTGGCAGAGGTATAAAGTTGCAATGCCAGTGGCGGGGAGCTGTAGTGTTGTAATCAGTGCAGCATGTCATAAGGCAGAGCGTGAATAAACACCTCATCTGAAGAAGGTCATGTGGGGAGTTGTAAAAGATGATGATGCAGAGGGATGCGGTCATTGTGCGTTTACCCTCAAGCTGGTTCAACCTCCAGTTCCTGGGAAACTGTATGCCTAGAAATTATGGTATCAAGAAATCAATACTAAGTTTATAGCAACTTCAGATTGAAGCTCCGAAAGGGTCCTTCCAAAACGTGGTTCGATGTATCAACTATTCTGGTACTATCACGAGAACGAAAAAGTTGGTAATTGTCAGAGCCACTTTTGAAATAGGGGGTGGGGTAATATAAGCGAGCCTGCACCGCATACGATATCAATCGCAGTAACAAGAGGCGCCCAGAGCTTGACGAGTTTTAACTTCCAATTTCTTATTCTTGGCGATTGGGTCAGTCAACTGGTTTTTGGTTTCGGTGTGGGGAGAAGGGGGGATGAAAAGGCGTAGAACGGCGGGCTTGCGAAATGCGAAAATCAGGGCCGATCTCATCCTCTTTCAGTTTCCTTCCATTTCCCTGATCTGCTCCCAAGCTGACTATGAAATGTAAGCAAGTTACGAGCTCTCCTGTTAAATTTGAGTATAATTAATTCCTTGACGCAGTGGGAAAACAGTACTTTAACCACAGCCAGATATCTGTTCTCCTCTAGCCATTTTGCAATCCGTATATATAGACGAGCCCACGACAATCTAATCACC